GTCGGGTCTTGTTCAGGGCGGTTCTTCAAGGTCTGTGGCAGCAGCAACAACTCCTCAAATTGTCCCAAGGGCATCCTTATGTAGATCGACCATAGTAGCCTACAGTTTCAACCCCTGCACCAAGCAGTGGAACTTTCTAAGTTACCTTTTCCCAATATAAGGTGCCCTCACTTTCTTCTTTTACTCCTTGCATTTAGCAGAACCAGCCCCAGGTCATCACTGCTTGATGTGTATACTTGTAGCACAACCTTTTAAAATTTAACATTTAATATTCGTGTCACGTTTGGCGTGGATATGTGTGGTGCGTTTAAGTCGGCCTCTGAAAACTTTTTTATATTGTTTATTCACATCACTCTTGGTGTGAGAACATCTTTAATTGTGAATATAATATTATGGGAAACTTACTGTAAACAATAAAACCTAAGTCAACTTGTAATTAATTACAGTATTTCCTCTGCTAGTATTTGTCTTTGTGAGCTAATAGACATAATGGACATTTAAAATGTCAATCTGCTAGTTGCACCAGAACATTTAAATGTCTGACCATCCTCAGTTGGGGACTTGCTATCCACATGGCCTTAAGTTCAAAATGTTCACTGTGGGAGTAAAATCCGTTTTGACTGTAGCACACAACAAAGGCTTCCTGCAGCTGCAGTTCTGCTCCACTTATTGTTTTCTCATACTGTGACCAGATATGTGCTGTTAGAAGATCGAGCCAACTGGGTAGCCGTGGATAAGACAACAGGAAAGATAACAACAACTAAGAAGATGGACAGAGAGTCCCCTTTTGTTAATAACAGTGTTTACAAAATTGTCATCAGTGCCATAGATGATGGTATGAAGGCGCTCTACTGTATATTCTAATGAAAAACAATCTGGATTTTATGATCTACTGGTAAACTAAAATCCCAGATTAATAAAGAAGTGTTTCTCCTTTACTGTGGTTACCAAGGTGAGCCTCCAGCCACAGGTACATGCACTATCCTGGTCCATCTGCGGGATATCAATGACAACACGCCTAAGCTGGTCAACAGTAGTGTCATTATGTGTGAAAACAAGGTTAACAAGGTCATGGTGCCTGCCAAGGACTTAGACCTGCCTCCTTTCAGTGGGCCCTTCATCTTCTCCCTGGGGGGTGATGACAAAAATGTGAAGCAGCGCTGGAAACTAGATCCCGCCACCGGTTAGTACATATCTGTATACCCACCTTGCTAAAAACAACAACAAACTTACATCATTACAATCAAAGAGCTACTACACACGCCTCTTTATATTTTTCAACAGGTCAGGAAGGTGGCCTTGTTAGTGTGACGATGCTTCCTTATGGTAAATACTCAGTGCCCCTGGTTATTGCGGACCAGCAGAATATGGCTGGACATGACACTCTGGAAGTGATGGTGTGTGAGTGTGGAGAAGTCAACGTTTGCCGTAGCAAAAAGCCAATCTCGTCCAGCCTCGGGGCACCTGGCATTGGACTGATTTTCGCAGGATTGCTCTTATTTCTGTGTGAGTATAGACATAAGTTAAATTTCTTGAAGAAATGAAATGGTTTAAGATTGTTAGCTTATACTGAAACCAACAATTTAACTAATAGGGGGTGAGATTGTGACATTTCATAGACTGACCACCAAAGTCTTGCACAGGTCCAATTATGAAAACCCATCCTGCACCTGCAAAGCTCAGTATCAGACCTGACCTTATTTTACATTACGCTTATCTCACTCACTACCTGCCCACATTTAGTCTGCCTGTACCCATGAATTAATGTACAGTAAACGTATTTTCTAGCTGTTACACATCATTTTTTGCAGGAACGTGTTGGTACCCGACCCGGTGCAGGACTTTATTGCAGGACTCACAAACCAAACAGCATGATTTAACAACACAGTACAAAGAGTTGGGTCAGACCAATTCTCAACTCAACTCACCCTTTATTTATATAGCACTTACAAACAACTACAAGTTGACCAAAATGCTTTGCATACACCTGCTAAGCATAACAACTTAAAATCATAAATATAACAGTCAACATTAAGCACTGACAACATAGAAACAAATAAAAGTGATAAACACCAAGAAAACTGTTAAAGCTCTACTAAGAACTGGAAGTCAAGGTAAATAAATAAGTCTTCAGTTTAGATTTAAAGATTTTGTCACGAGGACATTTGTCAACTGACATGTCATAACTCAGTTTCTGCTAATCTTGCTCCTGTGCTATATGCTTGTAACTACAGTCCTGTATATTATTTCGATTGGTTATATTTTATGTAAAAACCTTTATTTTGGGGGGAATTTTCACAGCGAGTATGGCTTTCTTGTTCAGGAACATCCTGATCACGGTGACATACTTATACACGTTCGCACCTGGAAGCTCCCTGGCCTCAGGCGTGGTAAAGAGGGAGGAGCTTCCCCCACTCAGCTTTATCTTACCAGCTAGGTGACCTTCTCTAAATTAGGTCACCAGTGATTATGTAGAAAATATGTTGAAAATGCAACATATACACTGTTCTTATTTTGAACTTTGTCTGCAGTACTGCTACTGATCTTTGCATGTCAGTGTGGAAAGAAGGAGCTCCCCATGGTGCAGGATGAGGGCAACCAGACCCTGATCAAGTACAACCAGGAAGGAGGGGGCTCTGCATGCACAGTGGGTTGCAAATTGGAGGGAGTATGACTCTGCCAGCATGTACCGCAGTTCTTCACTAAATGTATTACCCATTTCTGGGAGGTCTGTTTTATTATCAGCTCTTTTTTCTTTCTTCCTTGCCAGGCCGAACCCATTCTGCTCCAGACACCTACAAATGATGTAGCTGTGACAGATGGCCTAATACAGGCCACAGTGCAGGTACTCCACCTCTCCCCAATCCGCCAGTCATTCACCCTTTCATTGTTGGCTTTATCAGGCCTAGTGGACACAATGTCAGGGTGTGTCAAAAGGCAAGAGTACATAAAAAATGCCTGTTTTAGAACATGTGGCTGCAATCTTGTTGTTTGTGTTATTTGACAGATGACAGGAACTGCAGGCACTGCGTGCGAAATAAGACTGTGGTTAAGATGTTTGTTTTGGACATGTTTATGGCATAAATTACAGGGTTTATACAGAGCTGTGTAACAGGCAGTTGGCAGGGTGAACTTTAGCAGTAGCCAGTGATTACATTTACTGCAATGTTTAATGCAAAGCACTACAGTAGCATTGAATAAAAGGTTTTTGAAATGCCAGCAGACATAAGGAGTTGACTGAATGTATGTTAGAAAGAATTACTGTGTATGATTTGTGAAGCTACAAGTTTTATTTTCCATAAATTGATCTTGTGGCTGCATTTCCCATTTGTCAAAATACTTTGTTAAATGCTGTAGATATAAACACAGTTTAATTTAATGGGATATGCTTTATTTTAATTTTCTCTGTTCATCTAGATGTCTCAGATGCCTCCACTAATGACCCAGGAAATGAATATGTACAGCAGCTCAGGCCTCAGCATGGTGAGTAACAGGTCTTTAAATGGCCTATTTTGTGTGTTTGAGTGTCTACAAGACAAAATAAAAATAATTGAAAATTTGACTTCACTAATTATAAATTTAGCATTTAGTGCTACATGCACATACTGTATAACTGGGAAACTCTGCAGTCGGTAACAGCCAGGGCCTGTTCCTCTTTTCTATCATGCTCTTCCAGCCTGATTTAACCTCACTGTATATCCCCTACAGATGAGCTCTCACATGACTTCACTGGGAGTGCAACCTCCAAGAGGTTCTCTCAGAAGCCATGAAGGGCAGACCATGGTGAGTAGTCATGGATGTCATGATATGACGCGACGCGATGTTGTCATACGTTTCCTGATGACTGTAAAGCGACAACAATGACTTCATTAATCAATTAATCAATAAAAATATTAACCTGCAACTATTTTGATAATTGATTCATCATTTTAAATGTTTCAGTCATTGTTCCAACAAAAAAATGCCAAACACTTGCTGTTTTTAGTTTTACAAATGTCAGGATTTGACAGCGTTCTTTGTCAGTTATGGTAATAAACTGAACTTTTTGCCATTGTTGGACATTTTAAAGCAAATAGATTAATCAATTATTTGAGTAATGAAAGGCATATTAATCGGTAATGATAACTTTGGTGTCTCCTGGCATTTGCTCTGACACAGTAGGCGTATTTCGTTAAGTCTGCACACTGCCTACTTAAATCCACTAGATCATACTACCATTTTAGATGAAAGTGGAGTGAGGAAAAATAAAGTGAATTGGTATCTTCCAGCTTCTGACTGACTGAACACACCTGAGCCAGGTAATCAGCAGCAGGTCAGGCAGGGATAGTTGAAAAACAAGCAGGACAGCGGCCCTCGAGGACTGGAATTGGCCACCCCTGCGACTAGAGGTTGCCACAACCTGTGTTGTAGGAACACGTGAGCAGGAGGTGTGTCTGGTTCCTGGCACGGTTCCTGATTTAGATTAAAACATTTTCTTGTGTGTTGAAAAAAAAAAAGTTCTAGCATGATTTTTTTAAGTGCTAGAGAGTTCCAGTTAGAGAGATCCTACAAACACAGTGACTGTCAGATAAGCTCAAATTAGGGTAAATACTGAATCTACAATATGTCTGTTGTCTTCACTCCAGTACTCTACACAGACTGCGAACAGGATGAACACCTACCAAGTAAGTTATGCTCTTTAGTGATGTTTTTTTTTTTTAATGAGCAGGTAAAATACAAACTGCTGTGACTGCACTGTATACATACTGTATGTTGCTAAAGCTTTGGGAAGCTCGTGTTTTATAGCATAGCTCACAGTCCTCTATTCCATCAGCAGGGCAGATCACCAAGGTACCATGACTCTTTAGGCCTGTGGGCAAATCAACATATTGCAGATCACATCAACAGGGTAAGATAGTTTTAATTTCACCACACAGGACTGAACAGAAGCCGTGCTATTATGTTCATGAGGCATTTGTCTTTACTGATGACCATCGATTACTCAATAAACTGCAAATTGTCACAAGTTTGTTTGTCTCAGTTTTTAGAAATGAAAGAAGTACCATGAATGTAACATTATCCATCATACCAGACGGTCTTTTTAGATGTACTGCATTTTGGTGTGACATCTTTTTGACAAAATGACTCAGAAATCTATTTTTGAATCCTTAATTCTATAGAAATTCAACATGATCGATGGAGACCAGGTAGACTACCCAGTGTACCGCCCCTACAAATATGCATACGAAGGACAGGGCAGCAAATGCCAGTCACTGGATGAGCTGTCACTCAGCAACCTGGGAGATGATTTGAAGTTTCTGAATGATTTGGGGCCCAAGTTCAAGACCCTGGGAGGAATCTGTCACCAGGCAATTCAAGAAAAAAACATACAGCTTTAAAGGGCATGGCTGGAATGTGATTTTTATATTAAGCAGGTATCTGGCATCTATCCATGACACAAGGATCTAAGAGAGGTTGTATTTTGTTTGATTCAAGATGGAATTAATACTGTTCCATGACAACATTTAGTTAAATAAGCTGATTCCTGTGGGATGTTACCTCTCTGGAAGAGCTCAAACTGCTCCAGATGGCTTTAAATCAAGTCTTAAAGGGGTTTATAAAGGTGCTACCCAAGGATCAATATTAGGCCCATTGCTTTTTTTATCCTGTACATGAGTAACATTTATTTTCCAAACCAACATTGCAATGCACATGATATTATCTTGTATGCCATTGGGCTGCATTTGAAGGCATGCAGACCTCTCTGTTTAACTTACAGTAAAGCTTGTTCTAAACTCCAGAAAAACTAAATGTATGCTGTGTATCTCAGTCACTGAAATTCCCAATCCTATCCAAGTTCTAAATCGAGATGCAATTAATTCAGTCCAGCATTATAAAATACTTTAGAATTTGGTTAGATACACAGTACTAAATTGCCTTACAAAATTTATGTTCTTGTACTTTTTCCTCAGAAATTTAAAAATCTGATTTTTTATTTATCTTGAAAAAGAGCTTGTTTCTCCTTTAACAAGAGAAGTATCATTATACAACCCACTATACTATTTATATTAGATTACAGACATATCTTTTATGCTCCTGTGGCTGGCGCCACTCTTAAACCACTCAACAGCGTCTATCACATCGGTAAAAA